CCAGCTGGAACAACTCGTGTGGTTGTTCAGACGACCGGACCACCTGCGTCGTGATTGCAAGCGGCGTGAGTAAAGTTTTTTGCAACCAATAAATTGTGTCTGCCTCTCCATTCACCAGCCCGCCCTAACATACGACCAATTTCTAACGCAACTCGAGTCGGCTGTGGCCGTCCGAGACAGAAACAACCTAAATCTGGCTAATGGATTGGATCAAAAAGAGTCAGTGTAGTAGATGCCTGGTCTGAGAAGGGATGATTGATGAGGTTTTTTGTTCTTGTTCTCATGATGGATAGGAGCTTTGAGATTGAACAATGTGACATCTTTGGGTCTTTTGACCAGAGAAAAAAAAAAATTAGGGTTGGGAAGGGGGAAGGGAGGAAATAACGGCTTTTATAATCTTTTATAGGGCCGGGGATTGTAGACAGCGAGCCATATTCAGCAGCAGACAGGTTGGATATATTAATGGGAAGTTATTCTTATTTGTGAAACTTCCTTGAATAGCCTTATTTTTAAATGTTTATTGAATAACCACACTATTATAATCTTTTGAAGTAATGGATATTGCTTGATTTATAACTTTAATTTCATCTTAATGGGTTTAATAAGATTCTCAGCCAAACAGCCCTCAGTGACTCAACTTTGAATATTTCCTATTCCTAGCAGTAGGAAAGATTATTTTATTAGGCGGGTGAAATATGAACCTAAATGATTCTTCATCAGCCAAAAATACCATCTTCTGTCCTCCTTAATTGGAGTGAAGATAATAAATCAGCACATAAATGTTAGCCTACGAAAGTCATATCTAATGCTGCAGAGTGACTCTCCCTTTACTGCAAGATCCAGTAAATTAAAGCATAGGGACTTAGCAGCTGTCTTACTACCAACTGTGAGCTATATAGAGCCAGAGTCTCTTTCCTTGCACCCACTGAGGGCAATCAGGACTAATTTCAAAATCAATGGAGTTACGTCAGTGTAAAATAGAGACGATGCAGAGTCTGGCCCAGGTCTGCACTGCCCCAGGTGTAGCACCGACCACACTCCTCAAACCTTCTCCCGCGCACAGGTCACATCTTGGGGGCCTTCTTGGGGGACAGCCCCTCTGGGTGCTCTACAGCCTGGGTCAAGGAGCTGGTGGCAACGTTGCTGGGACACTGGGTGAGGCCGAGGTCACAGGGGCCTGGATCAGCCTCAGTTGATCTCTCCCCAAGTAACCAGACCTGCTCCCTTGATCTGGCTCCGGAGGGTCCTGCACCCATCAAGTATTAGTGCCAGGTTTATTTCCTCCTCCACTGTGCCCCACTTCTAGGAGCACCCTCTCTCCCTGCTGTCAGCTCCCTGGTCCATCAACCACTGGCCTTGCAGCAAACGCTGCCTCACCCCCCATGCAAAAGGCACCTTGGTGCCCGCCTGCCTTTCTATTAGAAATGGATTTTTTATCAGAAATTGTATTTCTATTAGACAATTCTATTAGAATCTAACGGCCACCAGCCCCATGGGTAAAGGTAAAACCACCTCTTGCCCTCAGCGGCCCCATTTGCACGGCCAAGGGGCCACGAGCCTTTCCTCGCTGGCAGCGGACACATCGGGCGCTTGCCCCGCGCCAGCCCAGCACGAGCTGCCCCGCCCCCGGACATACTTCGTTCCACTCCCCGTTTCTTTCACTTGGTATGGCCCGCGCTGGCGGCAGCTGAGCCTTCGGGCACCCCGAGTCCGGTATAGACAACGCTCCCCGCCCCCCAGTCCCGCGAGAGTTCGAGGTCGTAGGTCAGGCGTGGGCAGGGGGCGAGGGCTAGCGTACGTCACCGCTGCGCGGGGGCGGGGTCGGTCATTCTCTGCATTACGTAACGACGTTCCAGCGCAGAGGAGTTAGGGAACAGTCACGTCGTGGGGGAGCGGACTGTATCATTCCGCTCACCAGAGTGGGGGAAGATGCGGACAGACGGGTAATCTAGTGCAGCAGGGTGCCGTGTCCCTGCCTGCTGCCCCTAGGGGCGCTGTTGAGCCCTTGTTTGTACTGAGCAGGGGGCTGCCCGGGTGTGGAGGGACCAGGTCGCTAAGCCCGCTCATGCACCAGCTGCACTGGGCAAGGGGCCACGGGGGGTGTGCACCAGGATTTTGACCCCCTGGACGGCTGCCCCTATGGGCACACCAGTCCTGGCTGATTCTGCTGTGGAGTCAAGCGAGGTGGGAGGGATACACCTTGGGCGTCCCCTTGGTTTTTTCTATGCATTAAATAGGCTGCCAGGTCCTTGGTCCTGCCCTCAAGGACCTCGGGGTTGTAGGAGCATGCAGGTGCACCAGCCTTCGCCTTTTAGGGCTCCGCGACACGTTCACATGAAAGCTGAATGCTTCGCCAGCAGGGGAGACACAACTCTTCTCAGCCTTGAATGGCTCGGGGTAGATAGAGGGTGGAGGCTTGTCCCCTTTGCAGGGTGGGCAGGCTGGCTGATCCCTGCCAGAGTCTACAAATGCCTCCAAATGCCAGGCTCTCAGCTATACACTTGATGGTAATGGGGGATTAATCTCAGGCTTTCCAGCTACCTTTTTGCTAAGGGCAAGCAAGACTTGGGGGCATCTAACTGCAAGGCCTCCTTGCCCATAGGATGCCTGCCACGGATTTGGGAGTATCTGAAGCCCTAGGCTGAAGTGTCTGGGAGGCAGGATACTTCCTGGTGGTAGCACCATGCCGACTTGAACGACTAAGCTCTGCTCAGTCAATCGGATTCAGAGCTGAGTTGGCCCAGGAAACAAAGTTCAAAAAAAAAAAAAAAAAAAAGCTGGATAGAAACCAGCTACAGAGTTGTTGTACATCTTTCAGCACTAACTTGGTAGTGGGTTGGCTCTTTTTATAGCTGAATAGTCATTTTTATGATGTGATAATTATTTCACACATGTGGCTGGACAGGATTCACCAGTTAATTATGTGATAAGTACTTGGGTGTAGGTTGTAGCAGTGTTGGTCTAAGGACACAGGCAGACAAGGTTCTTCTGGTGAATCTGATATCTTTTATTAGACCAACTTAAATAGTTGGAAAAAATTATCTTAGCAAGCTTTTGGGTTTAAAAAATCCTTCAGCCTGATGAAGGGTTTTTAAACCTGAAAGCTTGCTAAGAAAATGTTTTCCAACTATTTAAGTTGGTCTAATAAAAGATATCAGATTCCCCCGAAGAACCTTGTCTGCCTGTGATGATTACTGTGCACATGTGACCAGTCTTACTTTACACTTGTGGCCTGACTCAGTTTATTGCACAACTGACCATTTAATGGCATAATGTGCGTATCGTGTAGCAGGGGCCTTACTAACGTGTCCTGCACCTTTGTTTTTATTTTTAGGTTGGGATGTTTAGTTTGTGACAGACGGGAGGCAGAACAACAGAAGCTAAGTTAGGTAAGTAAACTCTGCTTTAGTACAAAGGAAGAGGTGTGTTTAAGTCTGCTGTAGAACACAGGAAGGAGGCCCGTGTAGCAGAGTTCATCAGTCTTTTCACAGGTTAGCCCTAGGTAAATATTACTTTTTCCTAGGCCCACTGTATTGCCTATACATATTAAAAAGGTATAAATTGTGTTTATGCATATATCATTCTAAGAGCAGTACCATTTGCATAGCATCATATAAAAATAGGACTAGAATGGACCCCCCAGTGATCATCTAATTCAGCCTTTTGCTCAAGGCGTTTATCTGTGACAGTCATATTTGTCTAACCTGCACTTTAAATACCCATTGGCCAACCCACTGTGGCAGAAAAAAGAAGAAAAAGAGGGTGGGGGGGGTGTTGGAAATCAAAAGGCCAGTGCTCCAGACAGTAAATTAATGGTTCTCAACCTTTGATTCAAGACATCTCGTTAGATTCAAGCCCCTACTCCATAATTTTTGTGAATTGAATGGCACCCTATTAAAAAAAAAAAAAAATGATTACAGCAGTTACCTGCTTGCAGAGGGACCAGGCAGGGAGAGCCTAAGCCTATCCTTATCAGCTTATGTCCTCACACTTTCTGCAACACCCTTCAAAGGTTCTTATAAACCCTGGTTGAGAATCGCTGCACTAAGTCAACAGAACTTCAGTTGGTACAGCTAGATCCAAATGAATGTGTAGTCTACTGCCTTAGCCACTCAGTCATAACTGCTGAATAGAGTTGGTAAGTTTTTGCCCACTTTCTAACCAGGGACCTTTCACATGGTAGGCAAACTTAACAATCACTACATAAGCCTCCTAATTTATGTATACATCAGCCTGTAGGCCTCATAATGCCTATGTATTTACTTCAAAGTACTCTGGTTACAGTCTTTTATAGGCATACATTTGGCAATATTAAAAATATTGCAGTGCAGTATGCTGTAGAAGATGTTAGACTTGGAATTTTGAATATAAAAAGAAATAAAATATATAAAACAAAAATATACATCTTGATACACTCCTTGAAAGTCATCATGCACTAAGTCACAGGCCAAATTAATTCATTGTCAGACATGTTCCCAATAGTGAACTGGACCGTTGTCTAATAAATATTAAGAAAAGATGATACAGTAAGAAGGAACAACAGTCCAGCATCAGTTTTATAAAAGCACCAGAACTTTGTGGAAAACTGATTATAGGCTATTCTGTATTATTTTTCAGACTTAATTATTTTGGGGGAAAGAAAGGAAGCAGGGGAGAATCACACAGTGTAATATTGCCATCTACAGGCTTTGTAATGCAACTTTTTTATATCATATTGTGGCTTTTAAACACTCATTTTAGTGGGACACCACCAGCATTGTCTATTCATTTAGAAAGAAAACAAGTGTTAAAATTCGTTTTTATATTGCAAATGCCCCCAAGTACCCAAACCAAAATTTATGCTTGAACAAGTCACATTTTTCTACTTTTTAAAATATGTTTCTCTCTTCTGTTTTTCCATAAAAGACCATCAGTAACAAGAAAAAACTGACTATGCACAGGCTATCAACAGGACAATTAAGTTAGTGGTCCCTTACATAGAAAGTCCTGCTTCTATAAAAAAATTGCTTATGGACCAACTCTTACCAGGTCAGAGTTCAACCAGGCCACAGGTCAGTCCTTGGAATTTTGCCTAAAATGTATTACTGGGCAAATATTCAAGATTAAGATACTTTGAAGTGAATTCATTACTAAAATAGGTCCTAGTTTAATGTCCTTCCACAACTGGTTTAAGCTGAAACTAAAAGCTGAGGTCACTTTACTAGTACATATTTTCACAGGCCTCATGACAGGCACCTCCAAGCAGCTTTAGTAGTACTTGATTTCACAGCAGCTGCCGTCTAAGGCTGTCAAGCAGCTTTACACACTTTAATGAATTAGACTGATTTCTAGATGTGGTTGTTTACTTGCTATGAGGAGGTTGTTAAGCTCTGTAGGAATATGCATAGTATGTATGGAGTTAAACAATGTAACTCTTTACTGTGTCAGGACCTTAGGTCTATATCCTCATAAAACAATTCCTGTATCTTGAGAGAGAGAAAACAAAAGCACTGGAAAATTAAGCAACTTTCCTGAGATTTTACAGCCAGACTTTGACAAACCTAGAAACTGACTCAAATAGCCTTATGCCTTGTTCTGTGCTACACATGCTAGACAGTGCTTCCTAAGATTTGGGGGCAACTGAGATCAGATGACAAATCCAAGATTGAGTTTAGCAAATTAATACAGTAGTTGGACTGTGAAGTAGAAAGCTAAAAGAACACTTAAAAAAAAAAATTACTAGAAGAATTGCTGTATAGAAGTATCTTCTTGTACGGAGTAAATTTACACGAAGTATATTATTTTTTAACTGATTAAAAATTCTGCTTAATCTAGCAGAAAGAGACGTAATAAGACCCAATATTTGGAAGATGAAACTAAACAAAGAATAAGGAGCAAGTTTTTAAACAGAAAATTTAGTCATTGGAATAAATAGAAATTTGATAGAGAATCTACCATGTGAAATTTCAGGTAAAGAGCAGCTGTTTCCTAAAAAGGCACACTATAGTTCAAACAGAAATTAAGGACTTGTCACAGGTATTAGGAGGAGAGCATCTGTGCTATGCAAGACACCAGACAAGGGAGCATAATGATCTTTTCTGTATTTAATATCTTAAAAAAAATAAATAAAAAAAATATAATCAGGATTTCCTGTCCTCTTCTCCCTGATATTTACAAGGCTTTTTTTAGTAAGTGAGAAACTGAAGTGGGAACAGTGAAAGCAGCTGTGCACAAAGTGGTCACATCCACAAACTGAAGAAGTGATTCTGCTTTTCTACTTACTTTCAGTTACAGTATCTTAGGCGTATCACTTGCAACAATAGCTGACTCAATTTTCAAGCACAGTTTTCAAGTTTGCTCTGTCCCAGTTTTTCCCTTAGCTTGTAAAGGGTTGTGATAAAAAGCTGCAAATTAAGACAGTTAGAATATGCTGGATGGTGTCCTTTTAGCTCAGATCAAGTACAGATCTCTGGTCTCCCCTCTTTCACCTCAGAACATATTTGTATTTAAAAACCAGTTAAATATGAATGGTAACGCTAATTATCCAAAGCCATATTTTGATTGGTTGGTTGGGTTTGTCACAGCTGTGTTCCAGTACCACATGATGCACAGCTAGAACTCATTGATTTACGCAAAGAAATGTCTGCCCCCATTATGTACTGTTGGCAAGGCGGAAGTTAATTAGAGAGAAAGATAAGGCACCTCTGGGGGTGGGAGGTGAAGAAAAGTCCTTATTTAAACAAGGAGTGAAGGCTTAAAACAAGAGTCACAGCTTAATTACTTCCTCTCCCAAAATGCCAAGCTGCTGATTTGACTACCTTTAACCCATTTGGCTAGTGTAAAAACAAGCTGTGTAATAGTTCGTGCCTTTTTTTTCTTATTATTTTATTAAAGGAGTGAGTTCAAACCGGTAGTTAGGATATAAGCTGCTGTTGAAAGAGCAGCAGGGTTTCTGAGAGGCAGGAAGGGACAGGTGGGAATTCAAATAATCCCTGACAACTTCAAAAAAGTACAAGGGTAAAAAGTTAAACAAATACATTAAAAAATCACCGAGAAAAAGTATTGAAATGTTATCCCTCCTGTTTCATCCTCTTAGTGAGAACTATTTTAAAGAAAGGAGCTATATTATGAGATGCTTTTGATTCTGCATTTCTTATATGTATCTTGGAGCACACCAAAGACTGTCACAAATCCCCTATTGATACCCAACCTGCTGGGGCCCATTCATGTATTAACTACCTGACAGCTGCTACACATACTGCTCCATGTTCCAGGTATATCACTTTTGCAAGTCATTGTTTCAGTGAAGGATTAATCAGGAAATTGCCATTTCAGAAACTGTCTCAGATCTGTTTCATTTCATCTTGGAAGCTGAATTTTCTGCTAAGTGAAAGGATTTCTGTTGGGAATAATCAATTCTTCCAGATTTAAATATGAAAGTTTTTGACAATACCAATCTTCCACTCCCCCCCCCCCCCACAAACAATTTTATACAACAACCTTCCCCCCCCCCCCCCCCCCCCCCAAAACTAACATGATCTAATTTCTGTTTTCTTACAGTGATTTTTGCTTAGAGTGCAGTGCCCCAAAATGCTGAGAGGAATTCCTCAGGGTGCCAAAGACTTATTTACACTTTTGCTGGCTAGATCTCAGCACTGCAGCCCACGACTGACACGCTTGTTCCTGTGGAATAAAGAATGGCATAGATGCTTTTTACCACATTTCAGTTATACAGCTGATATAAGATCAAAAGAAGAAAACAAGAAAACTGTGGAGAATCTGAATAGCTTATCAGTTGATACCAAGAAGATTCGCAGGCTAAAAGAATGGGTCCTTTTTCAGGATATAACGTATGTTAAAGAAATTGCTGGTATTTTACAAGAAATGGGCGCTGATGATGCTACCATTGCCAAAGTTTTGGAACGGTGTCCTGAGGCAATTCTCCGTAGGCCAGTAGAGGTAAATTCACAAAGAGATCTGTGGCATTCAATATGGCAAAATGAAAAGCAGCTGGTAAAATTAATAGAACAATTTCCAGAATCTTTTTTTACTGTTCAACACCATGCGAACCAGAAAGCTAACGTTCAGTTCTTTCAAGAGTTGGGGCTCAAGAAAAATATAATTGGCAGACTCTTGACAAGTGCACCCTCTATTTTTCATAGGCCTGTTGAGAAAAACAAGCATATGATAGAGATGTTACAAAGAAGTTTTCTACATTTAGGCGGTTCTGATGCCAACCTGAAGGTCTGGCTACTGAAATTATTAAGCCAAAATCCATTTGTTTTGTTAAATAACTCCGCAGCTGTCCAAGAAAACCTGGAATTTCTCCAGAAGAAAGATTTCACGGACACTGAAGTTTTACAGCTGCTGTCTAAGCTTAAAGGGTTTATATTTCACCTTACCCCTAACACAATGCAGAAGAGCATTTCTTTCTCCAAAAATGTTTTTAAATGTAGTGATCGAGAACTAAAACAGCTTGTGTTAAAATGCCCTGCCATTCTCTCTTATTCTGTTCCAGTTTTAGAAGAAAGACTTGAGGGATTGTTGAAGGAAGGAATTTCTGTAAATCAAATTAGAGACATACCAGCAGTGCTAGAGCTGACAACACAAATTGTTCAATACAGAATTAAAAAACTTGCTGCTTTACAATATGATATCAGAAATGGAAATCTAGAACACTTGAATGGTACCAAGAAAGATTTTGAAGTTACTTACAGTAAGATACAACTGAAGAGAGAGAGACCAATGTTTAATCCTGTTGCTCCTTTAAATGTTGAAGAGTAATTCATGAGTGTCGTCTTTTCAGTTATGCAAAATAAAATAATCTGGAAAGAGAGATCTTGATCCTTCCTTAAAAACCAAAAAGCCAAATAACTGTATCCAACTTTAATTCGGTGACATGAAGACGTACAGGAGGTGGCTTTGATTCACAGCTCAGTACTAGTTTTCAAACCACCGGGTAAAAACTGACCATATTGAATATTAGCTTACTACCCTATACATATTAAAGACCAGCTTTTTAGTATTTGTCCTAAGCATAGCCCATTTTTTAAAATTTCCTGTACCTAACTGCAGATCAGTTTTCCTGGGTTTTTTTCTATTGGCCTTGCACTATCCAGTCTATGACATGCCGAAAGCAATTATACAAACCACTAGACAAGTGATTATCAACTAGGCTGCCATGGCACCCTGGGGTGCCTTGAGATCCTATCAAGAGTGTCACAGGGCTCTACGCAATGTTAGCAGTGTTAGGCTTACAAACATGATTTACAAGATAAACTCAGAAGTTTTGAATAGAAATCCAGAGTGGTGGTCTTTCTGGGATCTTTCCAACAGAAAAAAAACTGCTGTTTTTTCAGTAGCAGAAAAAGTGTGTGAAAAATAAGAGCTGGCACTTTCCAAGGGGTGCCTTGAACCTAAAAAGGTTGAGAACCATTGCACTAGAGGATGGTAGTGGCCTGCATTTTCAATACTATTTGTCAGCCAACTAGTAAATAAAAGGCTTTGAGAAAAGTCAAGTAACTACCACTGCATTAAAGGAGCCACTAGACCCCGTGTGCAAACTGAAGTTGGTAGACTGCCAGAGTAACGGGTACATAGCTAGAGGGGACACTAAGGGGAAGGGCAAAGACTATACAGATACTTTTACAATGGGTACTCATTTGACTTGATTAGGTATTTAATACTGTGATAAGAAACAGCAAGTGCTACTAGAGCAGTGATCTGCAACTGTTTTAGATTCAAGGCACCCCTTGGAAAGTGTCAGTTCTTAGCTTTCACTCAGTTACTACAGAAAAACAGTACAACAAATCTTGTATTGCAAAATGCTCAGAAAGACCACAAGAGGTCAGAGTATTTTTTGATACTATGGATTCCTATTTGAAATCTCTGGTTTATCTTGCGACTCATGTGTAGGTATTTGCACACTTAACAGTGCTAAAATTGTGTGGCACCCCACAACACCCTTTAAAGAATGTTACAGCGCTTCATGGTGCTCATAGCATCCTTCTTGAGGATCACTCGACTAGGGGGTCTCTCGAGATTCTGGGACTTCCAGCTTGCTAGAGATCTCTTTCTCTCTCCCTTTCTCCACGCCCCTTGGCTCCTTTCAAATTCTCTCCTTTCCCTGGTTGAGTTGGAAGGAGAACAGTATTACAAAGGGAATCAGCTGAGACAAAGACGTCTGTCTTCCAAAGAACAAAAAAACAAAACAAAACGAAGCCCAAGAAGGAGAACCTGGCCTTGAATTTTTCTTCATCAGAGTTACTGCAGCATGTGTCTTTGTAAACAAGTTAAAACTAAAACAAGATCTGTTAGGCTAGGTACAGACATTTACACTTTTATTGGTATAAGTGATCAGAAACCGGTCTATACATGTAACAGAACAGAAGTTCAGCACATATAGACTGGTTTAAAAATGGTGGAACCCAGTTTAAGATTTGCTCTTCCCCAGCCCCCACTTCCCACCAAAGGATGAATGTGTGTTCTGTTCAGGGCTGATCTAAGCTATGCCACTTACAGAAAACTGTTTAATTTGATTCCACCTCAGGCTTTTTCCCTGTCTGTACCTAGCCTTACAGACAATTATCACAGCTATTTTCTAAATATATGGACAAATTGGTGCATTATGTACTACATTCACATAAACTGTTGACAAATATTGGCCTTTTAATAGCAACCACTAGGGAGAGTTGTTGAGGGATGTTTTCTGTTACAAGCTATAAAAGCAGTGATGTACAACACAACCAACCAAACTATTAAAGGTTTTCTGAGATTACAGTTGTCAGTGGTTTGTTTTATAAAAGCATTCAACAAGTGAACGGTCTATATGTATTCTTCTGCACCAGGAGGACCTTTTGAAAGGTTTACTATGGCTGACAACCTTAGTATTGGATTAGTTACTAACACTAAAATCCTTCTTTTTTCAGGAACACTTTTGCATACGTGCTTCCTTTCATAAAATGTTTAAGCATGAACGTGTGCCCCCAGCAGCTGGGGGGGCATGGCGGCAACAGGAGCACGACAGCGGGAAGCTCCTGCAGACACCCCCAGTGGTGTCGGGGGCAGGGAGGTGGGGTGGCAAGCAGCAACCACCCGCAGACGCCGCTGGCAGCGTCAACACTGGCACTTTCCAAGGGGTGCCTTGAACCTAAAAAGGTTGAGAACCATTGCACTAGAGGATGGTAGTGGCCTGCATTTTCAATACTATTTGTCAGCCAACTAGTAAATAAAAGGCTTTGAGAAAAGTCAAGTAACTACCACTGCATTAAAGGAGCCACTAGACCCCGTGTGCAAACTGAAGTTGGTAGACTGCCAGAGTAACGGGTACATAGCTAGAGGGGACACTAAGGGGAAGGGCAAAGACTATACAGATACTTTTACAATGGGTACTCATTTGACTTGATTAGGTATTTAATACTGTGATAAGAAACAGCAAGTGCTACTAGAGCAGTGATCTGCAACTGTTTTAGATTCAAGGCACCCCTTGGAAAGTGTCAGTTCTTAGCTTTCACTCAGTTACTACAGAAAAACAGTACAACAAATCTTGTATTGCAAAATGCTCAGAAAGACCACAAGAGGTCAGAGTATTTTTTGATACTATGGATTCCTATTTGAAATCTCTGGTTTATCTTGCGACTCATGTGTAGGTATTTGCACACTTAACAGTGCTAAAATTGTGTGGCACCCCACAACACCCTTTAAAGAATGTTACAGCGCTTCATGGTGCTCATAGCATCCTTCTTGAGGATCACTCGACTAGGGGGTCTCTCGAGATTCTGGGACTTCCAGCTTGCTAGAGATCTCTTTCTCTCTCCCTTTCTCCACGCCCCTTGGCTCCTTTCAAATTCTCTCCTTTCCCTGGTTGAGTTGGAAGGAGAACAGTATTACAAAGGGAATCAGCTGAGACAAAGACGTCTGTCTTCCAAAGAACAAAAAAACAAAACAAAACGAAGCCCAAGAAGGAGAACCTGGCCTTGAATTTTTCTTCATCAGAGTTACTGCAGCATGTGTCTTTGTAAACAAGTTAAAACTAAAACAAGATCTGTTAGGCTAGGTACAGACATTTACACTTTTATTGGTATAAGTGATCAGAAACCGGTCTATACATGTAACAGAACAGAAGTTCAGCACATATAGACTGGTTTAAAAATGGTGGAACCCAGTTTAAGATTTGCTCTTCCCCAGCCCCCACTTCCCACCAAAGGATGAATGTGTGTTCTGTTCAGGGCTGATCTAAGCTATGCCACTTACAGAAAACTGTTTAATTTGATTCCACCTCAGGCTTTTTCCCTGTCTGTACCTAGCCTTACAGACAATTATCACAGCTATTTTCTAAATATATGGACAAATTGGTGCATTATGTACTACATTCACATAAACTGTTGACAAATATTGGCCTTTTAATAGCAACCACTAGGGAGAGTTGTTGAGGGATGTTTTCTGTTACAAGCTATAAAAGCAGTGATGTACAACACAACCAACCAAACTATTAAAGGTTTTCTGAGATTACAGTTGTCAGTGGTTTGTTTTATAAAAGCATTCAACAAGTGAACGGTCTATATGTATTCTTCTGCACCAGGAGGACCTTTTGAAAGGTTTACTATGGCTGACAACCTTAGTATTGGATTAGTTACTAACACTAAAATCCTTCTTTTTTCAGGAACACTTTTGCATACGTGCTTCCTTTCATAAAATGTTTAAGCATGAACGTGTGCCCCCAGCAGCTGGGGGGGCATGGCGGCAACAGGAGCACGACAGCGGGAAGCTCCTGCAGACACCCCCAGTGGTGTCGGGGGCAGGGAGGTGGGGTGGCAAGCAGCAACCACCCGCAGACGCCGCTGGCAGCGTCAACAGTAGGTGAGGGAGGGGGGTGGCGAGTGGCAACCAGCCACAGGCACCACTGACTGTACACCCCTTATGCAGCACCAGCATGTTTAAGTCCTTTTTTTACAGTCTGATTAAATTGCCAGAAATTAATTGGTGTTCTGATTTAGTCTCATCTCCCAGAACTCATGGGAGAAGGGGGAATTCCTCTGCTACAGAATGCAAAAGCGCTTTTTCCCTAGACACAAGGAGACATTTCAGATATGCACAGGAACAGCTATCATTTGTAATACAATGGGTAATGTTATATCAGGAACAGACAGGTTGTTAAAGTCATAAAGTAAAAGGGGACCTAGAGGCAGAGGAGGAAGGGACTCTCTTGATGGAAGTTAAATCAAGCTGTAGTTATTTCCTATTCATGTACTAATGTAAGAGCAGCAGCCTGCTAACTTGAGCCAAGACAAGGTTTATTCAGTTAGCTTGAAATGACTTCATGTAACTCAGTAAGACTAGAGTCCTTTACTGTTCAAAAATTTGACAGTGCCGCCAGAAATTTTACATTCAAGGGTTTTTTTTCTTTGAGTAGTTTGAAGAAATTTGGGTTTAAGGTATTTATAATATATCTGAGAATTTTCTTCCCATTGCCTTTTCCATGATTTGCATGAGTACGCATAGCATGCAATTAGCCGTTCAGCATGAAAACAGCCTGTTGCAAATTCAGACTGACATACAAATGCTTCTGCGTCAACATTTTTACAGTGTTTTACTTTTGAAAGTCAGCCTGATACCTGCCTCTTAGCAAGGACCAGCCACCATCATGTTGGCTTAAAAGTTTTGTTTAAAAAGGATCTTTATGTGGAATCTCAATGCTAGATCCAAAGTATAACATAACTTTCCCGATTGTCCAGCACAATTCAAACATAAAGATTATAGTAAAATATTTTCATAAAGACTCCATATAGTGAGCCAATAATATTACTTTTTTTTACTTAATGTCAGTGATAGACTGGATCACACATTTGCTACTGCTACAACTATGACTGCAAAAGAGTGACAACTTTTACTATCTATTAGATAGGGGTCTAAAAAGACCCACCCTCTTTAGACGTATTTGTTTCTACAGCGTGGTCTATATGGATACATATGCACTTTAACTTTCACTGTTGCAGGACCTTCATCAGAAAAAAGGCTGTCCAGAAAGATACCCGACTTTCCTTCTTTCCTAAAGCCAATAATATTGCTATCATGATCCTGAAGACAGACCAGAGGAGATCAAGTCAGGGAAACAAAAGGACTGCTATCAGACTGTAAAGTTACCCAGGGTGATCAAATGGAGACTTGCCTTGAAAGTACTCGCTTTAGGAGTTTATTTGGATGTTTCACACAGAGCTATATTTTGTTTGTGCTCAATTCTCCAAAACTAGAACTAGTGGGGAGCAAGTTGTAACATGGACCTGATGGAGGTTTTCATTCTTCTGGCCCTTCCATAGGTTGCTGAGAAACAAGTGAAAGTGTTCAGTGACCTCTTTTGATCGCATCTAGAGATAGACCTTTTACTTCCAGGTTAGCAGAGGCTGGTACCAGTTGGGATTCTAGATCTGAGTAGGATACTTTGAGCTAACTAGGATGAATGCAGGCTCCATAGAGGCCATCTGTACAGGGTGTTAGTTATTATCACTTGTAAAGAGGTATCCTTTTCAGTCATACTCCATGAATTACTTCAGTTTTTCTAATGCTTTGTATAGTGTTTTGGTAGGTGCTGGGGTTCAAAGTCAGCTTTTCTGATGACTGGAGAGCCTCAGCTTTCTGTAAAGATTTCCATTACATCAGTAAGATAGCTGGGAACCAATTTTCTGACTGGTTCTTGGGAATGGGACAAAAGACTTAGCAGCTGTACAAAACATTCAAATCCCACTTTTATCTCCTTTCCAAGGAGAAGTGTATAGATTTCTTATTTTTAGAAGGGGGACATCATTTCACTATTTCCCATACAGGTTTGTATGTAGCTCCCTCCCTGAAACTGTGTTACATACCAACCATTGCAACTGCCTCAAGGAGAGGCCGAGCTGAAGAATCTCTCCTTCCACAAAATCAGATTCAGCTGTGGAACAGATATACCTGGGAATGATATAACATTTTATCCAAATATCTAAATAAGTCTAAATACTTGAAGTAAAAGCTTAAAATATTTATCCCTGGACAAAAAGCTCAGCTGATTCTCACTATTATGCCTTTACCTTCTTGTATACATAACTATTTAAAAAAAAAGGCATAAATTTGTTTCCATCCTCCAGGTCTTTGCCTTTGTCTCTATTTTTCACATTATAATAAGATCTTTCAGACAGATGTCTTTTATCTGTGTTATGGAAAGGTGCCTACCACAGACAGCTATTATGTTTTGCTACATACAGTTAGTTTAAACACCTTTGTTTAAATCAGCTGTAGTGTATAAAATTACTTCAACTTTGTCCTACAGTCCCACTCAAGTGTTCTTACTCAAATATCAAAACAAAGTCAAAGTCATTAAGATGAAATTAGGCCTCAAAGAAAACATTCCTTCAAGTGAGTTTGTATCATCCTCATCATCATCATCTCCTCTTCCAGGCAGAAATTCAGTTTGTGAAGATCTAACAAGATCAGTAGTTTCCTATGCATATTACATATATAGCGTTACTACTGTGCAGGTCTAGCAACAGTAATAATTTTTTGTTATCTTCAGCCCCCTATAAAACCCAGCTTCTACTACAGTTTAAAATGCCTGTCACTTACTTCCTGTATCAATTTTTTCGTCTTCTTTTCTGTTACCATTGAAAATACCACCACTTTTCTTAACACACACAGATACATAGCCAACAGGCCATCTCAAATTCTTCCATCTTGTTTTTCCCTGGAGCTCATGTGTTCAAATCCTTTCATTCCATCCTCTGTAGTATTTCAAAATATGTGGCCCTTTCTTCCTGTACCAACATTTAAAAACTCATCCAGTATATAATCATCTCATCTTTATTTCTAGAATGTGCTCCTCCAACTCCCCTAACATTCATTTATAACAACACTTTGATTGAGACTATCATGTGCACAACTCTGAACCAAGTAACCACATAATTATATTGTAAACGTCTTTATCCACTCTTGTTAACCCTTCCTTAGCATTAGTCATTTCCACTCAAAACTCATTTTAGTGATGGAAAAGTCTTTTCGAAAAGATCTTAAAATGAGCTGTAGAACAACCTCTATGGATTGCTACCTTGAAAAGGATGCCAAGTCTGCTAAAGCAAAGTAAAAACATTTCCCTCTTGGAATTGAGAATGGTCTCTTCACTTGAGCAGCCCATACTTGGAAACTTCTTGAACAAAGACATTATTTCCCGACTCCAAAGTTTTTTGAGGAAGAGCACAATCCTCTTGTATTAAGACCCTGGATTTGGATGTAAGAAATCCAAATTCATTTTCCTGTGCTGATGAATTTCCACAGTCATATGAAGTCTACTTTTTATGCCTCAGTTCCCACATCTATAAAAAAAAAAAAAATAGGAAAAAAAAACAGGAGCGTCTTTTCTTTCACAATTTGTCTTATCTAGATAAGCTCTGTAGGACAGGGAGGTTTTCTAACTGTGTGTGTACTGAGAATACAATGGGACTGCAGTTTTACTTGGAGGCTTTTAAGTATTATTTTAATATAGACAATGACAAAATTATAAGGCACAATAACTGAATGCAAGATGTGATCCCCCAAGTTATTCTGCTTATTTCCCCATTACTTTTGTTTTCCCCATCAACAGAAGGAAGCTGTCCAAGAAGTCAAACTAAAAACATTTAATGTTTTACAAATTTAAAGCAGCAAGACAGAATTAGAACAAGTTCTGAAAGAGGAGTGACAGTTTCATATGTTAATTGGAAATTAAAAATGTGCAGAGTATAGGACCAAGCTCTAAATTAAAACCCTACACCAGTTTAAGCATTTTCGTTACAAGATTGCAGAATTAACAACAAGCACATTAGGAACAAAATGCATTGAAATGTTGGGTTGAGTTCTATAGCACAAAACATCCAACACCACACTTGTTTTGTTGCAAGTTTCCTAGTGTTTCAAAAAACAGGGGTGAGGAATTTGTTTGAAAGTTCAGCATTTGGCAATCCCCACAGTCTCCACTATGGTTGTTAGGAAGGGTTTTGTTGAAGGTTTCAGAATATTACTAAGTCTGCGTACAGCTGATTGTCATATCACCCTGAGGCCATGCCTTCATTGCATAGAGATGCAGGGTAAATAGCTGGCATTCAGGCACAAAAAAAAATGCTATGAACTACACTGTTTCTGGTATCACAGCTTGTTCATTTAAAACTAGCTTTGGTTTGTCTACCCTACACTGCAGTCTGCATTGTAAACATTCCCTCTGACTCTGAATTAGCAGAGGTGATCACCCTGTTTATTACATAGCCTTCAATCCAAAAAAATGAATCTTGAAGCTTAGCTATGACAGATACTTACTTCAAACAAGGTAGTAACTCGTTTTGTAGGCTGGACTAAAAAGACACCAACCAAACGCAACAAACAACCCCCACCCAAAACTAAAAAGCAAAACAAAAACAACCAAACCCAAGTACTCGCAGATTCCATTTCCACCTCTACACTACATTTAGGAAACCTTGGCAGATAAATATATCTGATGTAGAAAGTTGCTCCAGATCACAACCGAAGCACCAATGCTTCAGAAAGACTAGGTAACTTATATATATCTTAATCATAGAAACCTTTAACTGTTCACTTTACCAACTTCGGTAAACCGGAATAAAAACTGTAGACAAGTGATACCTTTTGATCCTTTTAATTTCTAGAAAAAGGAAACATCATTTTCCATAACCACTTAAAAAGTGAGCTTACATCCTTAGAAATTCTCCTCAGGAAGGACACAAATTCATAGGAAATACTGCATATAGAATATTCACATGAAACTTCAGCCATCTTTCACAGGATTCCAAAAAGTTATTTATCTGCAAGTCAGAATTTATGAAAGCTTGAGCGACTTCCAATTTAGAGCCCGTATCAAGCATGTGCTTCCTGCCTGTCCACGCTGCAGGGGACTGACGGGAATGATCATCTTTTGTGGTGCATCAAAGCTTGGGATCTGTCCCTATGCAATTTGTTAAGATGACAGCTCTCATTTCTTTTTTTCTCCCTGAATGAACACAGTGGGACATTTTAAGTGAAATGGACTTGTGAGATACAACATGTAGTGAAAAATTCTTCATATTTCAGTTAAATGCTTAACCCTGGTTAAGGCATGCAGCTAAACTGGCATGTCATGCAGTCAGACAGCTGCTTTGCTTTATTTAGAATCGTTCTTCAGGGGTCTCCAGCTCTAAAGCAAAAACAATTTATTCTAAGCTATTATCTTTGGCTTTATTTCAATTAACCTACCACCTTTTTCACTGTTTTTATAGCTATGATAAGCCATCCATTGGAAGCCCCAGGTCTTCATTTGCAGGTAATTCAGTGATACCTTTAAGTACACCGGAGATTTAACAAGAGATTTATCGTCTTTAATAAAGATGGCTAAGTTTCAGATACCGGCACTTATAAAAGTCTAAACCTTCTTCTACAAACTTAATTGAAATGATGGACATTATAAAGTTCTTTACACAGCTTTACTACGTAAAAATAGATTTTCCACCATAAGGCATGAATAGACTTAATCAACATACTGCATATAGAATCGTGAGGATCCATTTTCTCAGAAGTCATTATAATCTTACTTTCTTCTGCCTCCACATGTCAGTTTCTTGCAAGCCCTCAATGGCAGAATGGATCCACTGTTAGTGTATGGGCCTCATAAAAAGACAGTTTAAAAAAACTAAAGGTAAGTTAAACTATTAGGCGCATCCGATGTGCCTGTATACAGTTCAGGGATTCCTTATTGAGAGGAGTAGAAACGCCCAAGAATGGTAGCTGACATCATTATACTTGTGGTTCTGCAAAGGTTGTCAACTACATTATTACTTTCACATTGTACTCCAAAACTGCAAAAACAATTTACAGTAAGTGAATATTCAAACATGTATATTATAATCCCTTCAGATACACAGACTTGCTTCTATATTTATCAGATGTAACATCTCACCAGATATAAAGTTTGAATCTAGGTTTTAATGAACCTTTCCACATTGTGCAGTCAAACTTCTGTGTCTTTCAGAGAAAAAGCAAGTTTTTCACACAGCTCTTTAGAAGGTAAGTGTGTAAGACATGGCTTTGTTGTAGTCCAAATCTTTGCAGGTTTCAATGCCACTGATGTAGCATTATGGAGATCAAATGCATCTCAGTCTTTTGTTTAGTCAGACTTATCTTTTTTCTTCCCCGTTAAAGGCACTTTACTTGCAACAGCAGATCCTACAGCTGTAACACCTCCAGCTACAGCAGACACGCTTCCTTTAACCAGCCCCACTCCCATGGAAGGCACTGCCGTAACTGCTGTTTTGGTAATTTCCAAGCTTTTTCCTCCAATCCAGGCTACACCACCAATTGTGGCACCGACAGCTCCCTTTGTTACACTGAAGATGCCACCAGTCACACGAGAAAGCATGCCAGGCTGCTGCTGTGGATGATCTTTCAATGAACCTGAAGAAGAAGTGCAAACCTCCAAGTCAATCATGATCTTGCGATTAAGAACATTTTGTTAATAAATCTTTGCTCTGTTAAGTCTTCTAAACAATGTGACACATGGCACATGCTTAGTAATTCTTTGGCCTATAAAACACTACTCTTTCAAGCATTAGGTCTTACTGAAAGGTAAGATAACCTGCTCCAATTAAGACTGTCTTGGTGCCATTTTATCACCATAGAGTTTGATGGCGAGATTCCCAAATCAGCTTCAGAAGACTCCCTACCAACTCTTCAACAGCTAACTCCCTAATATCTTCCACTTCCCGCAACTGTCAGCCCTTGTCAGCCCCTGAAACCTGACAACATATTAAAAAGGATAAAAGAAATCCTGACTTTTTAAATACATTTCCCCACTTCAAACCACTTATGTCAACTCTGATACAAGATGACAAAGGAGTCTTTATTATTTTGCTTAAAATGCATTTTAACATCTTTCCTGTATATCCCACCCTTGAAAAAACAAAGTTGGCTCTCTTCTCTGTAGCCCCCTTCCTGCCACCTTTCTATTGACCAATACATAAATCAGTCCTTCTCTTATGCTTTTTAAGCCTTTTCTTTCTCTCTTGCCATGTCTTCATGTTTTTCCCCGCCTCCTATCCAGTTTTGGTAGTTTGCGTCTCATCTGCATCTACCTATTCAGATGATGTGTCCAAACAGGTACAATGCCACAGTATAAGACACAGCACACAGAACAGAGCGATGAAGGCAAGTTACCCTGACTAATTTGTAATATTTAAAAATCTAATATATAGTGATAATCAACACTGCTAAAGTGGAAGTCTGCTTAATCTGCTCAAGATAAACAATAAGGAAGCTGAGAAGACAATAAAATAGCTGCATAAGACTGAAAATTAAAGTGAATTCAATCAGAGTTAAAACCTCACACACACACACAGCAAAATATATTTAAATACAATTAATGGGCAAAACAGAATCTAAATGGGGGTTATGAACGCATTTCAAGTAGGGGTGCACCGATAGAGATTTTGGGGGCTGATACTGATAGCCGATTTTTAGGGACAATACCGATCCAATTACCGATACAGCTGTGTACAGCTGGTAAGTCCCTCACTTTGGGGGGGGAGGGGGGTTGATCTGCCCCCCCACCTTCCCTCCCCACTCCATTTTCGCCACAACTGACTTACCAGCTGCATGCAGCTCTCCAAGCTGCCAGGTTGTGCTTCTCACTGCTGTGCTGTGGCTGCACGCACACATGGACATTTATCGGCCAAATTAAATTGGCTGCATGGGGCTGATTTCCGATACTGCCAATCTTCTTTACATTGTTGCCGATCCAATATGGGACCGATACATTGGTGCACCTCTAATTTCAAGGGGTCACAACTACCTTCTGTTTCCTTATAGCTAGATCGGGGCGGGCAATTATTTTGGGCAGAGGGTCATTTACTGAGTTTTGGTAAGCCATCGAGGGCTGCGTGATAGGCAGCCAGGGGCAGATTAATATTAATTTTCTAAATTTTTTTAGGGACCCTGCGGATAGAATGGCCTGGCGGGCCACATGCGGCCCCTGGGCCGCATTTTGCCCATCCCTGATCTAGATGGAAGAGTTCATCAAAGCATTTTATAACACAGATCATTGACCAGGAGAGGCTGAGAAGTATTGCGCTAGTGAATTAGTTTGCTTCCTCCATCTACATCTTGTACATGTTTCTAATCTCTTACTATGGTTAATAACAGGATAATAATGACTTAAATTGAACACCTTCCATAGTTAGAAGTCACTATTCAGTTGCTCAAACAATAAGCCATTCAGATACATTATTGTGGCCACCTAATAATCTGCATTTAAACAACCCCACCCCCCCAGCTTTTAAAGTATCATTACACCCAAAGCATGCAACTGTTTTGTTCAGTGCTTCCTAATCAAGTACATTTTTAAAATAGAAAGCATTTTTATTTTAATTACCAGCCTTATAAACTCAACTTAGAAACTTGATGTCAAGTTGGGACCTTTCCATCCCACACATGAACTAAAAAAATTGTCAACAGGCCAAACTGCACTCTCAGTTACATTGTGCAAGCTGGGTCTTCAAATTATGCTTGTCTGTATTTGTGCCCCCTCGCTGTTTTAAATGAGTCTGCAAAGTGGCAATAAATTGCAACTGGATAAAGAGTTCTCTTGATTCACAAATGGCACAAAATCCACTCTGAAGTATATAGCCTCTTCAAGGCTAACAGCAGCAGCTTGAGTACTTAGCTCTGGCTGTGTGTGCAATAGGCTTTTGTTATCAACGAGAACTGCACTTCACAGAATTTTTTCACTATCAAATAAGATTACAGAGGTTTAGCATCTACCTTCTGGTGGTTCATTATATAGGTATGAGGGAACTTCCTGTTGATTGTTGTCCGTTTGATTCATTGTTGCCTAAAAAAACCCAAAAACACATTACTGTGCATCATTCTGCCAAACTGTGAAAATGCAGTCTTTACCATTTAAATTCATCCATATAAAATCTTCCCCCCAACAGAAAATTCCTTTCTGTATGAGATAAGAAAACAGCATAGCCACTACTATTTTTACTGCAGGCTGCTTGCACATTCAGATTCCTCTTCCTCGTCCAATATTTCTGAAGGATCCTGCAAAAAAGGAATCCTTACAGGTACAACAGGTTCAGCACGTGCTATACAAACGGCCTTCCCTCAGCAGTGCGCCCTAACACTGGCTGGGAGTAACTAACTGCCTTAAGAGTCATTGGAGAAAAGGGGTTTGTGAAAAAGGCAACGGATCACTGCAATACTCACTACAAAATTATTAAACAACAGATTAGTCTGTAGAAAGGTCTATGAGCAGATGAAACAAGTACAATACCTTAGACTCCAAGGCTTAGAAATATGCTAAAACCTAGAGAAACAACTAAGTGAACTGGACCATACAACAGAACCTGAATGTGTACCATACTCAAACCAAAAGATTTTTTAGTTATACTGTTATAGATTCACAGATTGTAAGGCTGAAAGGGACCTCGGAAATCATCGGGTCCAGCCCCCTGCACCAAGGTCATCTCCTAATAAAGAATACATGGTGCATGACAGCAAGAGAAACAATAAAATGGACCGTTTTAACTATCTGGAAGTACTTCCAATCCACTTCCGGGTTCGCTGCCAAGAATGCTAGAGAGCCCCCTGCGCTGCTGTGGGACGCTGCATCTGCCCCAGCAGCGATCACAAGCCACGCGGCTACCTCAAGGTATGTGGAAAAAACTTTTAAAGCTGTGCCTGTGTCCGAATTGCTGATTCGTTGAATCAGCATCAAATTGTCAGATTCAGATTCGGCTGAATCGAATCAAGGACAGTTATCCAAATCAACGGATCAAATCACTGTCCCTGATTCGGGCTGAATCTAAATCCAAATCGAATAGGGCTCATTTCGCACAGCCCTAGTAACTGTGTTGCAGGCCAGATCCAGTCTGTGGGCCATATGTTTGACACCTCTGATCTAAAGCATGCAAGAGCATTCCATCAGTTAAATCCTAAATAAGAATATAGTTTATCCAGTAACCACAGCTAAGCCCCCCAGTATAATCAGATTTAGACATCCTTGGGTATTATGCCCAAAACTAGCACAGGAAAGATAAGTGTCTAGTCAAGAGACCCTAAACTGGAAACTAAAAGTAAAAACTTTTTAGATTTGGCAGAGAGGCTATAACATAATTTTTTAACATACCTGTAGACCCTCAAGCAAAAAAGAAACAGGTAATGCCAAAGTCACCAGCAGAGCTGGTAAAATGGTAATATACAAGCAGTTGTTCAAACCAAATAGGTACCTTTCACAGAATGGAGATTCACAACACCAACTCTAAAAGCTAAAAGAAAGAAGTACATAAGTATACAAACTATGACAGATGGATTACGAGACTGAAATTTGTAGGGCTAAAAGGCAGAGTAAGTAAGTGGCTATCCGAAGTAAATGGGAGGATAGGTGGGTGGGGTCTGTAAACTCACCAGGGACAACTGAGAAGAGCACTCAAAAAAACCCTTAAATGATTTCTTGACATTAGTCTTCAGACAACGTGACGAGAGATATCCAAGAAGATCAGATCCAAGAAAGTAAAATGCAAGTGACAAAAATGTCCAAAGCAAAGGTGCCACAACAAATTGCCATGGCTGGGTGTTACACACTCAAGTGTTGAGCCAACAAAATGGAGAAAACAAACCGTTAAAGCATGCCAACTTTAAAGATAACTGTGACAAGAGAACTGGATGGTAGCTAAATTTTTAAAACAGGCAACAGAAAGGATCCTGAGAATGATAGATTAATGAACCTTATTTCAAGCCACCAGATAAACTGAGTGACATAACTGAAAAGATAAAACACCCAAACTAATGTGAGACGCAAATCAATTTACCTTGTTTAAAACAAAAACCCTTCCCCTCTAATCTTTTCAAATCCTTTGACTGCATCCAGAAAATAGTGTCTAAAGGAGGAGAATCAGTTGAAATAGTTTGTTTGGAGTGTCAAAAACCTTTTGTCACAAAAATTCCTCATTAAAAAAAAAAAACTCACCAAGAAACTGTGAGGTCATAAGACAAAAGGCTAAATATGGCCAGAGATTAGAAACAACAAAGTAGGAACTACAGGGTACAGAAAAAGGAGGTGGATAGTAAGAAGCTCTGCAGATAAGCATGGTGGGGGAAAGAGGGATTGTACAGTAGCACGTAACCTTACTAGCAAAGTATCAAGATCTCATTGTGTTGAAGATGGTATAAACCAGGGGTTTTCAACCTTTTTTTAACAAGTGTACCCCTTCTGTCTCAAAGTTTCAGCTCACGTACCCCTTCATATTTTGTTTTTAATGTTACCAATTATGTGATATAAGGGAGGCTATATTAACATTAAATACATTATTAAGCATTATATATATATATATATCATAGTTATGGCACAACAGTTTGGGCTGGTAAGTCTGTTGTGAAGGAAGGGGCAAAGGAAGGGGAGAAGGTGGGGGGCAGATCGAGGCCCCCACCGTGAGGGAGGTAGTGGGGCAGGGGCAGGCGCTGCACAACTGGGGCAGAGTGTGGGATAAGGCCTCAAGTGGCTCGTCCAGGGGATGTGGGGGTGGGCAGCTCCCGCTGCTATGTGCGCCCCGGGACAGCATGGAGGGCATGCACCCCCAGATCTCTGCAGGGTGAGGGCGGATTGCCACTGTGGGCTGGGGAGGCACTGAGCTCTTCCTGGCAGGGGAGTTGGGCTGGGCTGAGCTTGCTTTGGGCAGCAGTGGCACTGGGAGGGCTATGGGGGGGGCGGGGGTGTCCCCTGCAGCCACCCCAAAATTTGCTGTAGCCCCCTGACCGCCTTCCTAGCACTGCTGCTGCCTGCCCCAAGTGCAGCCCGGCCCAGCCCCTCCCACCAGGAAGAGCCCAGCACTGCCCCCAGCCCGCAGCAGCAGCCCACCCTTGCCCCGCACACAGATCTGGGGGCATGCGCCCACCATGCCATTCTGGGGTACATGCAGCAGCAAGAGCCCCTTCCCCCCACCAAAAGCCACGGCTCCATCCTATGCCCTGCTCCACCCTGCCCGTGCAGTACCTGCCTCTGCCCCACTCCCTCCCTCACAGCTAGGGCCTCAATCTGCCCCCCTCCAGAGACAGGCAGCAGAGCAGACTTTCCTCACAACAGACTTACCAGCCAAACCCGGCTACTCTCCATGCTTTTGGGCTGTGCTCCTGACAGCCTGCGTACTGCAATGCACAGGACATTTATTGGCCACATTATTGTTCACATTAGCCAAAAGAAGCCGATTGCTCATACTGTCATTTTTTCTTGCATCAGTGCCAATCTGATATGGGACTGATGTATCGGTGCACCTCTAGTAATTTTTTCTCATTCGTTCTAGGTACCCCCTACAGCCTTTTTAAGTACCCCTAGGGGTACATGTACCCCAGGTTGACAACCACTGGTATAAACATATAATGAAGAACTCCATGCCTGCCTTGGAGAGCTCAAAAAATCATCAGAAATGGATAGGACACAAAATAGCAGACAATAAGAATTAAATCTGCTGGGATCCTATGACCCCAGCTGACTTCCTGCCCTTTGGGTGGGGGGCTGGACTCGATGATCTTCCGAGGTCCCTTCCAGCCCTGATGTCTATGAAATCATAAATATGGTGGGAAGAATCAGGCCAATGGAGTAACCAAACAAATGGTCATGGGCCATTGTAGCAGATGGGCTATGAACATGGACCACATTAGCAGAACATGGGCCATGTTAGCAGATAGACTAGGGACTACTTGCTCTAGAGCAGAGGTATCAAACTCATGCAACGTTGGATCTCTACCATGTGGGCATCTCTCAGGTCAGATCTGCAGAGCCAACAGCAGCTGCAGCAGGTCCGAGTCCAGCAGTACAGACCAAATTCAGGTGATAGTGCAGATCCAGAGACAGGCAGCAGACCAGGTTAAGGTAACAGGCAGCAGTGGAGCAAGCAAAAGTGGTATCTGCACAGCCATCACTTGCCCGGTGCCACTGATGGCCATATCCATTACGATCTGGGGACCTTGAATTCTGTGGCAGGCCATACTCCACTGGCCATGCCCCCTACCTTCCAGTAGTCTGCTGGACTACTGAAAAGCCAACTAGAATCGTGTGCTGGATCTAGCCCACAGGCTGTACATTTGAAACCTCTGCCCTAGAGAACGGATAAAAGAATGATAGCAAAATACAAGAAAGTCACAGTAAAATGAGGTGCATTAACACTGCAGGAACAAAAAGATATTCTGTGAAGTTAGTAGCTGATATATTAGAACAAAAAACAAACAAAAAAGCAATTAATCTCTAGAATCAATTGCCAGAAAGTATCTTTCAAAACAAACCCCACTTTTCCCCCGGAAGTTTCTCCAAATTAAATAACCAGATTTCACTCTAAATAATTCATCACCCCAAGGGGACAAGTGATGACAACTACATTAAACCATGGATAACTGATATGGATTAGTATTCAGTATTATTAGCTCACAACAGCACCTTGCTCTCGTCAACTAATATTTACTAAACCTACCATTACAATATGCCAAATACTTTTGAGTTTCAGTTATGGTATGCTAAAACTTCAAAAAAACAGGAAGTGCTATTCTTCTGCATCAGTAATTTGTGGCACCTACTGGGTTTTAGAAATCTGTGATCATATTTTTCCCCTCACATTGAGGAAGTAGGTACAGAATAAGCAAACAAGACCAACTACATAAGAAGTCAAACTGTTCTCAGAGGCTGACCTCTAAAATGGACCTTTGTACAGAAGAGAGTCCAAGAAATCCTGGAACATACCTAAGAAATTGTTTTAGTCAAAAGGCAACCAGTGAACAGGAGAACTAAGAACAGGATCCAATAAAGGACTTAAATTGCCCAACGTACATAGTAGAGTACTGCATCCAGTTCTGGGCGCTGCACTTTGACAAGGATGTGTTAAAGCTGAGAGTCCAGAGAAGGGCCACCTGTATGATCAGAGACTTGTGCTGCAAGCCATACAAGGAAAGCCTGAGGGACCTGGGACTCTTCAGCCTGAAAAAAATAAGGTGGAGAGGGGACTTGGTAGCAGCGTACCGCTACATCAGAGGCGTACATCAAAGGTTTGGTGAACAACTGTTCACCAGGGAACCCCTGGGGAAAGCTAGGGGTAATGACCATGAACTCCTGGAAGACTGTTTCAGGCTCAACATTAGGAAAAACTACTTCACAGTTAGGGTGTCCAGACTGTGGAATAAGCTCCCTCCAGAGGTGGTGTAATCGTCTACCCTGGAAATCTTCAAGAGAAGACTAAACAGTCACTTTGCTGGGGTCACCTGCCCCCAAGTTATCTTTCCTGCTTGGTGCAGGGGGCTGGACCCGCTGATCTTCTGAGGTCCCTTCTAGCCTTACAAACTATGAATCTATGGCAGGGGTGGGCAAAATATGGCCCGTGGGCTGGATCCGGCCCGCCAAGCACTTCCCTCCGGCTCGCGGAGCCCCTTCAAAACCCACTGCCTCTCTAAAAGCCTCCGGCGGCACCAGCCGCCAGCTGCAGCACCTCCGGCTGTTTCCTTGGGTTCTGGTTGCGAGGCAACCAACCCTGACCTCAGCCTGCCCCAGCTGGCCTTGCCCCGCCCCGGCTCAGGCCACGTTGCAGCTTGAGAGGGGCAGGGGCCGGGCCAGAACCTGTGGCGCCGGTGAGGGGAAACAGTGTCTGGGCTGGCTTCTGCTTCCTGTGCAGGATGGAGAAGGGCCCAGCCCTGCAGGTAAGCCCAGGAAAGCGGCTGCTGGGCAGGCTTTCCCTGTGCCATGCCACACTGCTCGGGCTGGGCCTGCACTGGGGAGGGGAAGCAGCAGCTGGGCTGCAACTCCAGCCCAGTCAGCACCAGGGAAAAGAGGTGGCGGCGGAGCCATGTGCCACTCAGGACACAATGAACCCAGCCAGAGCAACAGGGGCTCAGCTGTACTTTCCCCCTACCTGCGCTCGTCTGTCCCGAGCAGCACATTGCTCCACCACCGCTTCTGCTGGCTGGTGCAGACCCGGCCGGGCTCGCCCTGTCCCCAGCAGCATGCGAGAAGCCAGCTTCAGCCGCATGCTGCTGGGGATGGGACAGACCTG